CTATGAGGGGTAGCTACTATTTATTTATTTATTTATTTATTTATTTATTTAAAAAAACATTCTTTTTAAAAAAATTTTATTTATTTATTTATTCATGGGGGGGGCAGCTCAGTCCACCAGGGGGCGGGGCTGGCTGGCATGTGGTGCTGGGGGGATTGAACCGTGGTCCCTGTGCTCTGCTAAGCTTGTTCTAAGTAGGTGCTTTAGACTACTGAGCCATCTCACCAGCCCCTGTACTGTTTTCTTAGTCTGTTCTGCATTGATTTCTACTCCAATCTTTGTAATTTTTTCCCTTTTTTGAGTTTTGGGATTGACTTGCTGTTCCTTTTCTATAAGTTTGAGGTTCAAAATTAGGTTATTTTTTAAGCTTGCTCTGTTTTTCTGATATGAGAATCCACTGCTACAAACTTCTGTCACAGGACTGATTTCATTGGGTCACATAAGTTCCTTTTTTTTGGCAGTACAGGGGATTGAACTCAGGACCCTGCCCTTGCCAGGCAAGCACTTATTCTACTGAGCTATCTCCCCGGACCTCCAATAGGTTGCATTGGCATTAGTAATTATAGAAACTTTCAGGCTAGGGAGACAGCTCAGTTGCACGGTGCCTGCCCGACAAGCACAAGGTCTTGAGTTCAATTCCTGACACACAAACACACACACACCTGAGGAATGGATTAAAAAAAAAAAGTGATATAATTGTAGAAACTTTCTACCTTCTTTAATTTCATCTGTAATCCATTGGTTGTTCAATGTTTTTATGAAGTTTTCATGGGTATTTTTTTGCCACCAATTTCCAATTTCATCAGGCTATGGTCTGATAATATGCATAGAATAATTTCAGTTCCTTTGCATTTATTTTTTTTAATATTTTATTTATTTATGTGTGTGTGTGTGTGTGTGTGTGTGTGGCCAGCTCAGCCCATCAGGGGGCGGGGCTGGCTGGCATGTGGTGCTGGGGGATTGAACTTCGGTCCCTGTGCTCTGCTAAGTTTGTTCTAAGTAGGTGCTTTAGACCACTGAGCCATCTCACCAGCCCCCTTTGCATTTACTTAAGCATGTTGTGTGGACTAGTGGGAGCTCCATTTTGCAAACCATGCCTTGCGCCACTGAGAATAGATCCTCCGATATAGTGAGACAGAGGACTCCGTAGATGACTGCTAACTCTATTTAGTCAAGTTTGGTTCAGTTTTGATATTTCTTTGATTTTTTTTTTTTTTTTTTTTTTTTGCCTAGTGGATCTATTGTGATAGTGTGGCATTGAGTTCCCCAGTCTTCTTTTCCCCTCAGGTGTTCTTTGTCATGCAAGGATCTTATCTCTACTGATCTTTTTTTTAAATGTGTGTGTGTGTGTGTGTGTGTGTGTGTGTGTGTGTGGCCAGCTCAGCCCACCAGGAGGCGGGGCTGGCTGGCATGTGGTGCTGGGGGATTGAACTGCGGTCCCTGTGCTTTGCTAAGCTTGTTCTTAGTAGGTGCTTTAGACCACTGAGCCATCTCACCAGCCCCTCTCTACTGATCTTGAAAGAATCCTAGCTCAAAATCTCCTGTTCTTCTTTGCATCATCTCACCACTGCCGGGTTGATGTCTCATAGTTCCTATTTTTTAGAAATCTTTCTTTTCTTTTTTGTAAAATATATTTGGTATAGGGTCTCACTAGGCAGCTTGGATTCATAGTGGTCCTCCTGTTTTCAGCCTCCTAAGTGCTGGGATTACAGGCGTGCACCACCACGCCCAGTCTCAATCACCAGCTCAGTGTGCCGCATGGGGGTGGGGGCACGGCATGCCAGGATTCGAACCCCGGTGCCTGAGCCTTCCTCAGCAGGTGCTTTAGTCTGCTAAGCTATCTGGCCGGCCCACTAAGCACATCTTTCCTCATGGTCACCATCTCTATAGTTATCTGAGACATTATTTCTGTTTGATTTTTTTCTAGGACCTTGTTCATCTGCTTTTTTACTTCCACAGTTACTACTTCAGAGTCCTGGCAGGTAGCTTTCAAATTGTTCTACCTTGGGCCGGTGAGATGGCTCAGTGGTCTAAAGCACCTACTTAGAACAAGCTCAGCAAAGCGCAGGGACCATGGTTCAATCCCCCAGCACCACATGTCAGCCAGCCCCACCCCCTGGTGGGCTGAGCTGGCCACACACACACACACACACACACACACACACACACAAATAAATAAATAAAAATTAAAAATTTAAAAAAAAATAAAATTAAAAACAAAATTGTTCTACCTCACTGCCCTCTGAGTTTGCCTTTGGGGAGCAGGAAGTCTGAGGTTGCATCTCATTTAGTCATTTTATTTCTTTTTCTGCGTGCTGGGAATGGAACTCAGGACCTTGCACTTGGCAGGCAGGCGCTGTGCCACTGAGCTATGGCCTGTCCCCTTGCATCTTGTTTAAATATCTTCTGATTTTCTATTTTAAAAAAATTTAATTTCTGGGGCAGGGAAATAGCTCAGTAGCATAAGTGCCTGCCCGGCAAGCACAGGGACCTGAGTTCAATCCCGGGTACCGCAAAAAAAAAAAAAGAAAAAAAAATTAATTTCTGGATTCGTGCCATGAAATGCTTATGGCAAGTAGCTTTATTGTTAGTACTTAGAAACCTCAAGCTGGGGAGATGGCTCAGTAGAATAAGCACTTGCCTGGCAAGCACAAGGAACTGAGTTCAATCCCTGGTTCCATTAAAAAAAAATTAAATAAAGAAACCTCAAGAAACAGCTACTTCTCGAGATACGAGATATCTTCTATGGGTAGCTGGCTTTGGGGCTTCGAATCTGTTGCAAGATCTTACCTTTTCAACTTATTGGGGATAAGAAATGGCTACCCACATAGCCCAGCCCCTGGTCCTTGGGCATTGACCTGAGTTTGTGGGAGACCCAGGAGGTAAGGTCTTCCTGCTGTGGGCTACCCCATCGTACCCAACAGTGAGGCAACACACAACTTTGTCATGTGCACAGTATAGTTTATTATTGATGTTGTTATTATTATTAGTAGTAGTAGTAGTATTGTCTTTTTTTTTTGTTTGTTTGTTTATTTATTGTGTGTGTGTGTGGTCAGCTCAGCCCACCAGGGGGCGGGGCGGGCTGGCATGTGGTGCTGGGGGATTGAACTGCGGTCCCTGTGCTTTGCTTAGCTTAGCTTGTTTTAAGTAGGTGCTTTAGACCACTGAGCCATCTCACCAGCCCTAGTATTGTCTTTTTGAGACAAGGTTTCACTACACAGCTCAGGCTGGCCTTGAACTCACTTCGTAGTCCAAGCTGGCCTCAAACTTACAGTGATCTTCCTGTCTCAGCTTCCCAACCGCTGGGATTACAGACACGTGCTTCCGTGCCTGGCTCACAGTACGGGTTTTATTCCCGTGTTAGTGCTGCAGAGGCAACACGGCAGGAACCAGTGACTCACAGGCAGTCCGGTGGGGAGGTAGGGGTTGCCAGCCTGACCAGTGTGTGTGTAGGGACAACAAGGGGTGATGCTGTCAGCTAGTGAGGGACCCAGGCTGGCTCCCAAATATCAACAGGCACGGTGGCCCCGCGGGGCTGGGAGAAACTGGTGCTCAGCGGCCCTGAGCCTGCAGCCGCTGCATTTGCAAGATCTGGGTGAGAATCCGCTGCACATCCTCATCCATCTGACCCTGGGGCAGGGAGCAGAGGGGGAGGTGACCCTGGTGCACCTGCCGTGGCTCCCCAGTCCCCTCTGAGCTTAAGTTGTGTGCAGCCAGGAGGGTCAGCCCCTGAGTGTCTCTCTGACTGGGCCCACCTGCTGCTGTCTAGAGGGGAAACTGAGGCTCCAAGGGCAGCAGCAGAAGCGGGCAACAAGATTTGCAGATTTGCAGCTGGGAGTCTGCACCACTCACCTGGATGGCGTAGAGCAGGTGGCTTCTGTACAAAGCCACCACAGCACAGTGGTCCCTGGCGGCATCCTGTGGCAGGGGAGGAGTGCTCAGCCAGGCAGGACCCCACCCCTCCCTGCCCACCAAGGGCAACCCAGAGCCTCATTGCATGAGATGTGGCGTATTACCGGGCCTTCAAATCTACCTTGGGCATGCTCCAATGCCATCTGGCCCGCCCCTCTCCCTCCACCTGCTGTGGGGCTGGACCTCTGGGCCTCCCTCGGACGCATCCTGTTGCTTGGCAGGCCTCACCTGCAGCTGCTGCTGCAGCGCCTTCACCTGGCCACGGAGGGCTTCGACCTCGGGGCTGGCTGGGGCCGAGGGCTGGTCTTTCAAGGCCTCTTTCAGGCTGAAGACTTCTTTGGATAGTTCTGTGATCTGCAGATGGGGTTATAAAGGTGTCATCCTGAGCCCAAGCTGGGGGTGGTGGCCTAGGGGGGACAGCAGGAAGCAGCAAGGGGTCTAGACCTGCTAAGGAATGGCACATTCCAGGGGTTCACAAACTCCAGCCCCTGCCCCAGACCTAGTTTGACCCTCACCAGTTTGATTTTTTTGTTTGTTCTTGCGGTACTGGGAATTGAACTCAGGACCTTGCGCTTGCCAGGCAGGTGCTTATGCCACTGAGTTATATCTCCAGCCTCCTCACCAGTTTTTGTAGTACATGTGTTTCACATTTAGTTTATTTATTTGTTTATTTAGTGGCACTGGAGATGGAACCCAATACCAAAAAGAAAAGTACAGAACTTAGAAACCCAAGTTAAAACTCTGGTTGAACCACTGCATGGCTGTGTGACCTTGGGCAAGTGGATTCACCTCTCTGTGCCCAAATTTCTTCAAATGAGAACAATTAAAGCACCTATCAGCTGGGTGTGGTGCCTGTAATCTCATCACTGGGGAGGCTGAAACAGAATTACCAGGCGTTCAGGGCCAGTTCAAAGTCAGCCTAAACTACAAAGTGGGACTGTCTCAAAAATCAAAACAAAACCCAGAGTGCCTATCCGTGGGAACTTCATATGGATTATTCTGGGGCCGGGGAGATAGCTCAGTAGAATAAGCACTTTCCTGGCAATCACAAGGGCCTGAGTTCAATCCCCAGTTCTGGAAAAAAAAAAAAAAAAAAAGCAAGAGAGAGAGAGAGAGACTCAGTAAGCATATAACAGTACTGTGGTTCTCACTAGAACAGCAGAAGCCTCGATGCTGCCTCCCTTTCCATGACTCAGTTTCCCTCTTGCCATCTGTGCCAAGTGGGGAGCCCCGGACACAGCATGGAACGGGGGCACTCACCTTCTTATCCTTCTCCTTGGCTTTGTCCAGGGCTTCCTGGGCACGGCTCTGGGCCTGGCGGGCCCGCTCCGCCTCGGTACGGAGCCCCCGTAGCTGCTGCTCAGCCGTGGCCAGCTGGGCCTCAGCCGCATGCCGTTCGCTCTTCATGAACAGAGCCTCCCGCTGCACCTGCGGCCCAAGCCGGCCGGGGAAGATGCTTAGGACACGCGTTCTTCCAAAGTGCTTGGCCCTGGTGTCCCTCCGAGGCTTCTGCTCTGTGCTGAGCACATTCCAGCCCACGTCACCCTCGAGGGGTTTCTCCTAGCAGAGTTCTGGGTGCCCCTTTGTCCTACAAACATTCCGACCTTGCCATCCACCTCAGACCTGTCAGCTGCCTGTCCTTCACTAAAGGAATTAACCTCCCTGGGCCACATTTCCCCCTGTTAAGAGGAGGATAGGGGCTGGAGAGATGGCTCAGTGGTCTAAAGCACCTACTTAGAACAAGCTTGGCAAAGCATCAGGGACCACGGTTCAATCCCCCAGCACCACATGCCAGCCAGCCCCGCCCCCTGGTGGGCTGAGCTGGCCACACACACACACAC